ATAATCTACGTTTCGTTGAGAATCATAGAAAATTGTGTCATGGATTATGATAATACTCGTAGGCTAAGAAGTACCAGAAGTTCAGTAAGTACCCGTTTTATTTACCTTTTTTTGAACTACGTAACAAATTCCAAGATAAAAATCGGCTGAATCTGCTAACAAATAGATGAAGTGAATAAAAAATATTACATATTTAGGAAACTGTTTCACACATCATCTGTCAAGGGCGGAACTGATTTTAGAATTAGATTTTAGAAAAATGTGTACTTTATTCAAATAACAGCTAATGAGTGAAAATCTCAGAATTAAACTATCTTCATGAACTTCCATCAAGTATTAGAATTATGGTATAAAGTTTCCGAGTTGCTTTAGTTATTTTAGCCGACACAAGTTAAGGTAATAGGTAACTAGTTAATTTATTAAATAATTCATCATGCAAGGATAATACTTTCAGATTTGTTCGATTGATGACCTATTTATTTTGTAGCAATTCGGTTACGGTTCTGTAATTTGGAATGGAAAATTCCAAAAAATACAGAACAAATTTCTAAGGTAACCTATATTATAAGAAATATCGTTGTAAACCCGATTACAACAGCATTAGAACATCACAATTGAGAACTCAATTTGATATACCCTCCTTAGACTTTAGGCAAAAAATCTTTGCACTAATTTTTATATATAAAATTATCAATAACAATATGAATTCCGCAGAATTATTGTCACTATTACCAATTAATCCAAGTATCCTGAATAATGCCCTATCATAAAAACACATTTCATTCTGGTTTACCCACATAACAATATATATTCCAGGAATATTTCATGAATATACATTTAAGGATATTGTATTATGCTATTAATATGTGGAAGTGCTCCTGGCGAACCTTTGATACATGCTAAGAATATTCCTGGGGAAATATTCTCAGAATATATAAGGTATATTCTATTGAGAATATTCCAGGAATAGAACTCGAGGAATATTCATACAATATTCGGGATATTCTAAGTTAATTGAAGGATTATAAAAAAAGGTATCACCATAGAATATTCTTCAAATATATTTTATGAATACTGTAGGAATATTTGGTATATTCCAAGAATGTGATGAGTAAATGCTATTAGGCAAATATAACACACGAGTAATAATACACATAATATTCATAATCAAAAGTGTGAAGTGGGCCTTAGGGACCAAAATTGCCAGAATGAACCTCCATAAGAAAATACATGGGGTTTTGATCTAGAACCCGTGCTGCCTATATACTCGCTTGGCTACCAACCTACCTAAATATGTTTCATTTGAAAGATATTTGACTGAATAGTGCTGAATTAGGTATTTTTTGAGACGAAAACAGTATCTGGTCATTCATAAACACACAATTTTCGCAAATAACAGATAATATCGATTTCTCATTATTTCTCTGAGTGTAAACGTTAAGATAAAAAATTTCAAAGATATCAAGTCGAATACGAATACGCACGAATTCTAGTCAATTATATGTGACACGCTCAAACATTGTCTAAATACAGTGAAGCACATAAGATTTCTTCTTCTCAATACTTCGGAATAGAGTCAGCATCTACTATTCATTTCGATCATTTCCAAAGTTATTGCTGAATAAAAGTGATCAGTGTCTTCACCAAATTTGAAAATTACAAAAAGTTGGAATCAAAGCATAACGCAGTGAAATAATATTTTGTGGAAGGAATGGCAGGAGAAAATGAAACGGAGAGTTTCTTTAAACTTCTTCGAAAACTGAAAAGGAAGCATGATGATACAAGCCTTTTCAAATTATTAACCGCTATCCAAAGCCGAATAATGTGCAACACATACGAAATTTCGAAGTTCATAGAAATGGATTACTTGGAATACGTACTGAAGGCGTTAGAAACGAATGAGAAGAATATAATCTACGTTTCGTTGAGAATCATAGAAAATTGTGTCATGGATTATGAAGATACTCGTAGGCTAAGACGTACCAGAAGTAAAGTAAGTGCCCGTTTTATTTACCTTTTTTGAACTACGTAGCAAATTTCAAGATTAAAATCGGCTAAAACTGCTAACAAATAGATGAAGTGAATACAAAATGTACACATTTAAGAAACTGTTTCACATATCATCTGTCAAGTGAGGAATTGATTTTAGAATAAGATTTTAGAAAAATGTGTAATTTATTCAAATAACAGCTAATTGTTGAGTGAAAATCTCAGAATGAATTTCCATCAAGTATCGGAATTCTGATATAAAATTGCCGAAAACTTGAGTTGATAATTTTTTATTTTTTTTGGCGGCCCTGATTAAGGTAATATGGAAATCATTTATTGCATAATTTATTACGAGGATAATACTTTTACATTTGTTCGATTGATGAACGAACTATTCATTTTGTAGCAATTCATATTGAATATTAGGATATAATGATAAGGCATTATAATAATAATGCCCTTTCACAAAAACACATTTCATTCTGGTACAGATATGTGGATGACATCCTCGTGGGTTTTGACGGTTGGAAGAGACAGATAAATCAGTTTCTGATTTCCCACAACTCTCTCCACGATAAGATGAAATTCACGGTTGTAATTGAACAAAACATCATCTTCCTTGGTCTCAGTATCTCAAAAAATAATAATAAATAACACCTCAGCATATATAGAAGTAATACTTTCACGGAATGTATAATCCCCATGGATCATTTCAGTCCATTATCACATAAATTATCGGTATTCAGATCAATGATACATAGAGAGAGCATTTATGATTCCGTCATCAGAGAAATCTTTTCAAGAAGAAATGAAGATCACAAAGCAGATAGCCCTAAATAACCATATTCCAGTTAACTTAATTGAGAAACTGATATCCAATGAAAACTAAAAATTGATCAGGAATGAACGATATCGAAATCATGAAGAAGTTAAGAAATATGCTAATATAAGCTATTCGGGAAAATCCTCCGAAAACATAGAAAAGTGTTTTTCACAATTCAATATAACATCGTTTACTAGTTGGAATAATTTAGGTAACATGTTATCCAATGCAAAACCCAAAAGGTATGAGTTAAAAAATTGGGCATATAGGTATGAACTAGAATTCGTGCAATGAAGGAAGGAAGATGAATTTGTTAAAAGCATTGGAAATTAATAAATTTTATGAAAACCCCAATTTCAAAACCCTCAATGACCAACTAGAACTTTGCAGTTCTCCCCTTTTGAATTTATGAACTTTTGACAAGTATAATAATAATAATATCAATAACAATACTTTATTTTCCATTTGACAATTAAAAATTTATTGGATTCGTCAATACAAGTTAGTAGAATAAAATAAAATTGACACCTCGACACGTGTTTCGATCACCAAGTGATCATCTTCAATGCCTCATAGGCATTATGGAATCTAGGTTTACTATAAAAATCTAGTGAGAACCTAATCAGCCCTTTATTCTCTTGCCCTTATTTATTGGGGAACGTACTATAAGAACTCAGTACATCAGTCATGGTGGTTATCAGGTCTATGAGCCCCATAGCAATTATGGAATCTAGGTTTACCATAAATATCTAATAGGCACCTAATTAGTACTTTATTTTCTTGTCATTATTCATTGAGAAACGTAATATACAAACTCAGTACATCAGTCATGGTGGTTTTCAGGTCCATGAGTCCCATAGGCATTATAGAATCTAGATTTGCTATGAATATTTAGTGGGCACTTAATTATCACTTTATTTTGATTGTCTATGTATGAGTTTACGAGAATTTCATGACTTTATTGTATATTGTTAATTTTTTTCTCAAATCAGGTATCCCGAATTTTTTTTCCGCTCATTCACGGACTGGGGAACTTTGTCCGCCGCCGCCGTTATATTAAATGCTGCACCGTGCATACACTTTTATTTTGAAACATTCGATTGAAAATGAATAAAATTGCGCGTCATTTATCTCATTCTTTATCTTAATTAAATTACAATTAACGGTAACGAATAATCATTGTATGTTCATGAATCATAGACATAGGTAACAAAACAAAAGTGAAATTCAGCAGCTCTGCGCTTCACAAACACCTGCATCTATCAAAAGACAGATTAAAAATTCAAACATTAGAGTTGCGGTCGATATTTTGTATCATTTTTTGTCTGTCATTGTCTTCGTTCACTCGCTTGTATAAAGATTCTGCCACGGCCACTGAGTCACACATATAGAAGGGGAGCCCACGATGTAATGGGGATTTACATTTCAGGCTGCGAAGCTTAGATGATAAAAAGAAAAAATGTTATATAATGTATACTTTTCCATCGGTGGGTCAAGCGGCTATAGATTTTTAAATAAGTAAAAAATAATGTTGCAAGGACATACTCGAGCGCGTCAGATATTGATAGATATTGATCAATGTCCTACGTATTTTTATAATGTTCGTATGTTACTCTGATCTTTTGTATAATGCGTGTGGTTGTACATAAGGGTTTAAAGTGAAATGAAAAAAATTAATCGAGCGCGTCATATTTTCTAAGGGGGTATTGAGTGCACCAAAAAAAACTTTCAATAATCTGACGATTTCGATCTGACGCAAACTCGCGGCCATTATTATAATGTGTAAAAAAATTTGCCATTTTGAAATACTCAAGCGTGTCAGATTGATGGTTCATATATATATGGTTCATCTTTATGTTCTGGACGTGCTGTCTCATAATCTGACGATTATCTAGAGGGATTCGCCTAATCTGCCAAAAAATATTTTTTTTTAAATCATTGAACTTAATTAATCGAAAAGCTCAGGAAATATCATGCAAATAAATAAGTGTATGTTTTTTAAATAGAATACTTGTATTTATAAGAAAACAATTGAAAAAATATGCTCAAAAAATTTAATTTTTTGTAATCAATTGATTAATTAGTCTTCATCTTGATCACGAACGAGTCTCTGTGATCAAGTCATAGGATAGTTATTATCTCGAAAAAATAATAATATGAGAAACCCAATTGATTATTTCAGATATTCACAGTCGTGGGTACTCTGCACTCACTATTTACCTCTCATGAATGCTGGAGCACCCGAGCACCCACGGAGTCGGCGCCCCTTCTTTGAGTGTATTCCATTTTCTTAGCAAAATAGACGTATGTTGTCCGTATTGTGCAGCTAAAGTGCTAGAAATATAAGACGTATCTCAAAAATGAAAAAAACCTAAGCAGTTTGGAGGTAACTCATATTTCTAAGCAAAACGTTCGTTTCTCAGAGGTGTGTCGACTTCGCCTAGGATTTCTGGCAATATACAATCTGACCTTCAAAGAGATACGTCTACATCACTAACTGTTAGTAACTTTTCTTGATTGATACCTTTATAAAGGGTTCTTATCAGCCTCATCTGTTAAAGTTTGTTGTTTAGTCATCAACACTGTCAAATGCTGTTTGAAAATTAATTTTTATAGTAGTAAGATTGAAAAAAAGTGAATAGAAAGAAGGTAGATATTTTTATATTGCCAGTAGTATATTATAAGGTAGGTAAATACAAATTTCATCAGCAAGAAAATGAAAATTCAACATTTGATGTTGAATATAGAGCAAAATACAGAGGAGACGCCGCAAGAGACAAAGAAGTAGGAGAAATAGTGTATTGCGCAGATTTAGAACAAAATTACCACGGCTTGAGATGTTTTAAAGTGTGATTTTTACAAATCATTCAGCAGTGTAACGAAAGTTTTGTTCTGGTTGGAAAGAAAAGAAACAGCAAGTCATTTGCAGTTCTCTGGCATGAAACTTTGTTCAAACAAAACAATGAAGAGTTGATCAGTACATTTTAGAAGTTTTTTATTAGCAAGAGAAAAGTTTTAAAAATCACGTTATGGCTTGATAATTGCACAGCGCAAAACAATAATTGGGTATTATTTTCATTTTTAACACATATTGTAAATTCCGATAAAATATGTGCCAATGAAATTGATATAAAATACTGGCCCTACGTTTATGGCTGCCGACTCCTTTAATCACAGAGTGGAGGTTTTCATGAAAAAAATGGGCAACCAGCTTTATGATTTCTCAGATTCTGAACAAGCCTTAAAAGGTGCTGCTCATAAAACTAAGGTCACACAATACACATTAACTTGTACAGAGCCGAGGCCATATTTACATGATATGGTTCAGGTAACCATCCACAGAGGATCGTATAATATTACATATAAAAATGACTTTGATGGTCCATCATTTGATCTTGATTAAGAGACAAAGAAGTAGGAGAAATAGTGTATTGCGCAGATTTAGAAAAAAATGACCACGGCTTGAGATGTTTCAAAGTGTGATTTTTACAAATTATTCAACAGTATAACGAAAGTTTTGTTTCGGTTGGAAAGAAAAGAAACAGAAAGTCATTTGCAGTTCTCTGGCATGAAACTTTGTTCAAACAAAACAATGAAGAGTTGATCAGTACATTTTACCAGTTTTTATTAGCAAGAGAAACGTTTTAAAAATCACGTTATGGCTTGATAATTGCACAGTGCAAAACAATAATTGGGTATTATTTTCATTTTTAACACATATTGTGAATTCCGATAAAATATGTGCCAATGAAATTGATATAAAATACTGGCCCTACGTTTATGGCTGCCGACTCCTTTAATCACAGAAAGCTTGTTAAAATAATATTTTATTTATTAGATTCACCTAACTATTACATAAGGACACATTGTAAAATTAATTTAAGACTAGTAAATAAGGCAATATGTGAAATTAATTTTATAGAGCTTGGATATTTCAATTATTAGATTTATTTGCCTATTACATAAAGACATTGTAAAATCAATTCAAAACGAGTAAATAAGGCAAATTGTAAAATAAATTTAAGGCACTCAAGACGCAAGTACCTAGAACAGGTAGATACCTGTAACCTATGTAGCTATGTATGTATGATTAGTTTGATCTTCTTGTTGAAGATGATCACTTAGTGATCGAAACACGTGTCAAGGTGTTGAAAATAACGGTTTGGTGTTGGGAAAAAACTCCAGTAATATTTAAAGAAAGGAATCAGCAGATAACATGTTAAGTTTGTAAATATTCCTTCACAGAATAGAAACACTTTGTTATTAGGAAGTTCTTCAATTTGTTTATGAAGAGTGTTTGATACTTTTTTATTCCATCGGGCAATGAAATGTCAATCCGGGAAGGTACTGCTCTAGTAGAATTATAATGAAATTTTGTACAACTGAAAGGAATATATAACTGATATTGTTGGCGTGTTTTGTATTCGTATCTGGAGTTGTTCGGTGTGAAGTTACTACGATTTTTTTACGTAAATGCAGCATTCAAAACATAACAGTGATGGAAGAGTAGGGATTTTTAGATTTTTGAAGTGATCTACCGGATGAGCGTTTATAAGCTCCAAGTATAGTACGAACAATGCGCTTCTGCGCAATGAAAACATCTGATGATGAGGTGGATAGGCCCCAGAAGCGCACCCCGAATCTTAGTCTGGAATCAATTTGAGCATAATATAATTTTAGAAGTTGTTTTTCGTTAACGACGAGTTAAAGATTTCTGTATTGATATGTATAGAAGTTCAATTTGGATTGTAGGTTGGGATCCATTGGTAGTAGTACCAATCCACAAGTATAATCTTCTAAATAATTATTTTTTTGGTAGTATCGATAATTCAAGTGTCATTTTGTTATTTCAGGTACCAAAAGCACGTATAAATACTATTTCATTGTATGTTCAAGAAGAAGGTGTTTGTGAAAAATAATTTTTTTACCTAAAAACGGTCTAATAAACCAATACCGGTCGTAACAAATAAACAATCATAGTAGAAATCAGACAAAAGCTATTTTCTTCATCCTTCATTCAATACTTTCAGAGTATGAATTTTTTTGGAACGAAATCTGATTTGATACTTCATTGCAGACGTTTATAGAACATTAAGGTTACTAGTTATGATTATGATAAACATGTTTTGGATAAAATGAATATCATCGTTTTCCAGAAAATGGGAAACACTAAAATGGAAGAATGAAATTCTGTTTATCACTTACAATCTTGTTGTCAGAAAATGATAAGCGAGACTGTCTAAAGTAAGAAGCTGATATTTGCAGACGCTTTTAAGAATTAGTCATTTATATGCAACTTTTGATGTTCTGATAATTACTGTGAAAAAGTCGACTCTGAACCTCATTTGCTTCATGAATAAATAAATATAACAGTTTGCCACATAGCATTGAAAACGGTGTTTTTCTGTATCGAAGAACATTCAGCAGTGTTGATATTGTGTTTTATGGATGAATAGTTTCAACAGTTTCTATTGTAGAAATGCTTGAATTTTGTTCAAGTTATCATTTGCTTCACTTCTCCTTTAGTATATTCTAAAAGAAATAACTTGTATAGAAGATCCATTTCATTTTTCAAACAAAAAAATAATTTATCAGTTCTGCCTGAGGAAACAGTGAATCATGTGGCGGGCGGTTTTGTAAATTGTTATATTGGAACATTTTTATAGTAATACTCATCAAGTATCTGCCATTCCATTCGATAATATTTGCTATACATTATTTAACTCATAAGCTACTTGAATTTGTTTATATTTCACTTTACCAAAATATTCGATTAGGTTAGTTTCTGAAAAGAATTGTATTTTTAAACGAATTGCGTTATAGAAAAATGAGATGTTTCTTGAGCATACTCAATGGTTTATTTGATTTTTTACGTTTTAGGTGGATTTCAACATTATGATATCATTAAACAGATTGATGAGACAATATCCCGAAGAAACTTCAATCAATGAGAGAATATTCTATATTCTTGGAAATATGTGTAAAAGAAATAGGGAGTATGCTTACATAATCACCACTAGATATCCAGAATTTGTGAAACGGTCTTTGGTGTTTTTGGAAAAGGCTGCGAGTGAAAATTGTTCTAAAACTGCTCCTGACCCGACGTTACTGCTTATTAGGTAAGTAGCAGAGGATGATACTAAATTTTGAGCTATGAAATTGATTTTTTATTTCTTTTAAAGAGGCTTTGATTGTTTTGGAAATATTTTTTAGAGTTTTCTGGTCTGATTGGCTTTGTCTTTCTTGCGGAGGAACAGAAATAAAAACGTATCCAAAAACACACTTCANAACTGTGACAACCGCTGAATAAACTAGAAATGTCTACACGAAATTCACTGGACCTCAAGTTGTACAACCATTTACCAGTTGACCTCACTCAGCTTACTACTCCATCATTCAAGATCCATTATCCACTGATTTAGAAGCTGTGACAATCACAATTCTGGGACCGCAAAAACTGCACGTCTGCAATGTATACATTCCCCAAATCAGAATCCAAGTGTAGTAGAACTGTCCAACCTCTTCAACCAACTACCTACTCTACATATAATATTAAGAGATTTCAACTCACACAACCACATATGGAGGTCGACGAAAACAACACAAAATAAGTAAAACAAGAACAACTCAGATTCTTCAAGTGCCCTGGAAGCAATCAACTCATTATACTCCAACCATCCCATCAATCATCATATGAAAGAACTGATCAATATTCTCTATAAAAAAGGGGTAGTCATGAAATTTATATGGGTTCCTTTTCACAAAAGGGCTGAGAGATTAGCTAAAGAAGCCACTATCAGGCCTTTAAACAGTACAGGAAACTATGTTGTCTATACAGATATGAAACCGTACTATAAGAAAATCCTCACTAAATTATGGCAAGTTTAAGGGAATGAGTCTTGCAGTAAACTTTCCAAAGTAAAAACAAGTGGATACATCTCCCGACAAGTAGGAAAACCCGATCATAATATCCCGCCTGTGAATAGGCCACACTCGCCTTACCCATGGATACTTCATTGCCGGCGACACCTGCCCTATATGTGCGAAGTGTGCGACTCTCCCGTAAATTTAGACCATACCTTAACAAAGTGTGTGTTATATTCCAACGAAACACTAACTCAGGGCATCCCGCCTTCAATTACCAACGCATTAGGACCTAAGTGTAATATTGAAAATACTCTAAAGTTTTTAGAAAATGTCCACTCGTTCAACTTTATATAATACCACTGCAACTGATGCATTGTTCAGTCGCTAATAACCCTGGAGGTTGATGCGACTTTTAATGAAGTAAATTAAAAAAAAATTCTCCTGAGAAAATATACTCCTCCTTCTTGTGTTTGATTTTTCTAGGTGACTTAAGATGATAAACTGTATCTTTTCATTCTACCTATGTTCACTATGAATTCTGTTATTGAATGCTTTCATTTCTACATTTTGAAGGGTAATTTTATTAATTTCAGAAATCTTTTGGACTGCCATACGTTTTCGGAGCTCTTCGGACCCTTCAAGGTGATGCATGTTCTGTGCTCCGTGTTTATGAAGATCACCGCGGAATGGGAAAAGACCGGCGCCAAGGAGAATTTTTTGAAGGAAATCATCGAAGCGTTGCAATACTTTTCATGCTTCCACATCAGTTACGATATTTTTTTCAATATGAAAAATATCGAAGGAGAAAACTGCTCAACGTTTCTAATAAAAGTTCTGCTCCTGTCGCCAAAACATACAGTGAACATCGTTCAACACTTTTTTCGCTCTACAAATGAGCGTGAACTGCCGATTCGGGAGATATTGGATATTTTCAACAATAAATTGTTGAAATCAGACTTGAGAGGTAAATGAATGAAGGTTTTTCTCTATAAAATCTCAAATCGCTGCTGAATCCAATTTAGTTTTGAGTAATGAATTGAAAATATCACTGCTATACATTTTTTTCAATTATTGTACATTTTTATAGGAATTCGTGAAACAAGATTTATATCATTTGTTTCTCTTTCAAAATAATACATGCGCCATGGCTCCTGAAATGATACAATGAATAAAGTAGGCCTGAAAATTATATATTGCTGCATCGGAGTCTCACTACAAATCAACATGGTGAATATCCCTATAAAATATATCAGTATAACAGCAATCATAACAATATAAATAATTATATCAGAAACTATACCTATGTTGAAAAATTTAATCAATATATTACACTGATTTTACTCTCCAAAATATATTTTTCAAGCTTTATTAATCATTTCTCAGAGATCACCTTTTTGAATGGAGACACTTCAGTTCTGAGGGTGCGACAAGTAGCTATGAAAAAAAAATCAAATGAAGTTACTACTCCTCTGTCCATGGGTCTACAGCCATTCAGATTCTTTCATTACTGGTATCCGGAGAGCAGACGGAGAGGGAATTATCAAACCACTTGCGTCAACTTTGTCTTCGTGGATTCAATCTTCAGACAATTTTCACAAAGCTCATTCGCTGTGGCCGTCTACTTCTACTTTCACGATGATTTTGGGCAGTCTTGCCATGCACGTAACGACTGTGCATTTGCACACTGTTGTGGGATATAAAATAGATTCCACAGGTTGCACATATTCTGTTCTTGAGGTACTGATGGGCAAATAATTCATAACGAATTTGCTCAAACCCTTCCAGAGCAGGCGACAGATCAACATATAACCTCACATATTTCAATGCACTCGATTCGTCTGAGCATTAAATCACCTGCAAGAAATGTTACGATTCTCTTATTACGATTACTTATTTCATTTTCAAATTTTCAGTTTCCAATTTCGTTACTCAATTCTTCTCATTCTGTTTAATTCATTTAGTCCTCAGTATAACAAGGTGATATGTATTTCGCCATTTTATGGCTACGGCCATCTTGAATTTGTATATTTTTCAAATGGTACTACTATTTTACTAGTCAAACCCCGTCATTTGATACCTATATTGAGGTAGCTGTGAAAAAATATGCAATTCGACATTTTATAGCTGCGGTCATCTTGGATTTACAATGATACAGAATGTATCAAATAGTATTGTCATCAAAACTAAATGTGTGTAATAAATATCAGATCAGTCTGTCAACAGGAAGACGGTCAAACTCCAATTACTAAATTTGACCTAAACAAACAGGGTAACCTAAATGAAACCGTTCATTAACATACAATACAGTCGGGGGATTCCCCGTAAAATATAAAACATAAAATCTTGCCAACTTCCTAAACTCTTGTACATTATTTTGATATATCTCGCAGGGTTCAGCCTGTCTTTCCAACGAGAGCGTAATAAAATGTGTTTATTCACATCGTATTAGAAATTATCAGTGTTTCTCTACTACATTATGCATGTTATTATAAACCTTCCTATTGAATCACTCTATCTATTAAAAAGCCTTTGCGTAATTTTGAAGATCTAAGCATACATAGGGATACACAGCGAAAAGCGACTTTGTTTTATACCATGTGGTGATATACGGTTAGCCGTATTATGGAAAATAATAGAATTCATATCCTGAAAATCGATAAATGCTCTTTTCATAGAATGAATATATATATTATGGTGTTTTTCCAAAAACTCCGGTTATTCCGGAAATTGGTACCAACTTCCATAATTCAAATGAAACACCCTGTATATTTAGATATAACCGAAATTGTTGAGAAAATGCCATTATATTCCTTGTTCGATTAATGACCTATTTATTCATTTTGTAAAAATTCACATTGAATATAAGACTAAGACAATAACTTTCATCTATATTTACCAATTTCTCATTTACAAAACATTGGAACAGCAGCGATACAGCAACATAGTACTAGTATTATATAAAATGATTTGAAATCTCTAAAAGAACCAATACAAATGAAAAATTAAGAACAATAGCTGAAAATAATAAGTTATATTTAGCAAAAAAACACTGAAATGAAATTACAGTAAAATAAAATAACAGTAAAAAATAGAACATTTAAACAAAAAATATTCCAAAGCGATGATGGAACAGATTTTGACCAAAAAGACAGCAAGAGCCTTGCAAGGAAGAGAAGCCGTCACAACCACTGCTTGCACTTTCCTACATCAGAGGATTATCGGAAAGGATAAGAAGAATTGTGTTCAAGTACAACATTAGAACCTGCTTCAGATCCGAAAACACTATCCGTAGCAGCCTCACGAAAACCAGGCCCCCAAACGCAGACTGCGATTCCAAGAATTGCATTTACCGGATACCCTGTGAGTGCGGAAAATCCTATATCGCTGCAACTAAGAGACCATTGAAACTTCGCATTACCAAGCACAAGAAACATTCACGACGAAGGAAAATCAACAAATTAGGAATATCAGAGCATATTGGACCCATCAACATAACATCGAGTGGTCCCAAGCTGGGATCACATACAGGGAGGAACACTGGTTCAAGAGTAAAGTCAAAGAAGTCGCATACATGTTGTCCAAAAAAGTATTCAGCCAAGCCCACTTAAAAATACGCGACATATGGAATCAAGCGAAAAATAGCCAACTCCCGTCAAACACTAATCTCCCACGAAATCGGTGAAGAAGGACGATGAGATAAGTGAAAGTACTCGAATAACACATAAATAGTTATTTCTCGGAGGATATGTCCAGTCATCATCCGAAGACGATTGTGGATACGAACAATCGAAACGTCGTGAAGTAACTTGGGTAGGAATCTCGTAATTTTTTATTTTTTGTTCAATTGTTCTGTTATTTACTTTTATTTCACTATAGTTTCATTTCAGGGTTTTATTGCTTGATAGAATTGTTATTTCCAATTTTTGTTTTTAATTCTTCATTTGCATTGGTTTTTTTAGGGATTTCAAATCATTTTATATAATAGACAATGGAAGCCTGAACTAACGAAATTCATCATGAAACATTGTCAATCACCTTTAAACAAACTGACAAAAGTTATTGTCTTTATCCTATAGCTATCATATTCATTCGATGAAGCATACTGAAAAACTCATTTTCGCCAATTTTCGGGATATGAATTCTTTTATTTCCCAAAATACGGCTAACCGACGGACATCGCGTGGTACCCTGTATATATGTATACAGCTGTTGTGCTCGGCTTCGATCGCGTGAATTCTAGTTTTCAGGTTTCCCCATATTTTTTAGCTGCGAAAAGTTGTCATTCATTTGCCTATCTATGATTTATGAAAAAATAGTTTTGCATACTATAATGGTTTCAGTTAATATGGCTCAAACATATGGTTATGTTTGGCATATTCAGTGGAAGCATAGTTCACTTTTTGAAGATTTTTAAATAATATAATAATATCAAATACAAGTACGAACAAGTATTTTTTGGTCTGTAAAATATTTTCAAATCCTTTTGATTGACTGTTATAGTTCATGGAATTAACGGGAGTAGGCTTTGCTTTAGAGGTGTCTGGCAAATGAAATATGATTGGCTGTTGGCTGGCGAGATTGAATAATTCAGTTTTAACCTTTACGTTGTGTCTTAGTATTTCAAAAAATGTTGCAAAAAGTTTATAAAAAATGAATAGAAGGAAAAAGCTGAGTTGTGTTAACAAATATTTGCTGTCTGGAGCTTCATCCTTAATGAATTGATTTATTTGTTCAGTGGTAAACGTCGACGATTTCTTCGGTTTATAACCATAAGATTTGCGTTTCAGAAAGGCACGTAATTTTGAATATTCGCTGATGTCCACATTTTTCTTGCTATTAAGGATACTTCTCAGCATGGAGTAAATTGCCCATAATGACGATTGTTTCAAATTTTTGCTAAATCTTCGAAATGAACGGGAAGAACGTTTTCGGACAACGAAGTTATCTCTTTCTTATTTCGCCAACTCATAAAATTTTAGAAATTAATTCGTATTTATCGTTATAACGTTATAACTCATTTTGAACTTTTACAAGATACTGAATGACAGCTTAATAATTGAAACAAGTGGTTGTTGATTCATAGATATAACTAGATTCATTACCAACACCAACCCACAAACTGTTGAACAATGAATTTATTGAAAATATGATTTTCATTTCGATTCTACAGGATGAATGTATTCATGACATCATATTTATCAGAGTAAATGTTACATATCTTGTAATTTTTTAGAATACACGTGTATTTTAAATAAGCCATTATCTACCTGCTGTCAAACACGTAATGATTCGTGTTACATGAAAGGAGTAGAAAAACAGTATTTTCATAGTTTCTTTCTCAACAATTATCAGGCGCGAAGTTCTCCTAATTCTTCAAATTGACATAACCTTTTTATTCATGAACTGATTGAAATGAATATAAAACTCTGTTGAGTGACCAATACACAGCACAATACAATAGTGAAAAATTCACCAAATTAGGTCGAGCGGTTTTTTTAGGTAAGCACACGTAAACTCAATACATTTCTTAAATTCATTGCTTAAATAACGATCCCCGGTTATAATTCTCATTTGAGTTCAAATAGCGATCAGTTCCACTTTTGTTATATGTACCGACAATGGTTTCCTGAAATTAATATTTTGCAGAACCTCAACTTAATATACTGGTGTTCCTCTAATGATTTTCTTGTTACAGAATTAACATGTGAATGTGAAATTTACATCGAGAGTATCTGTGCCATTGTGTCTCGCTCTCTGAAACATAATTTGGAACAACACAGGCAGTGCATCAAGGTGTTGCTCAAAGTCATAGAAACATTTAGCTATACTTCCAAGAGGGAAATGAAATGCCTTCTCCTCATTGTCAGAACTTTCGCCGATTGCCATTATGATGTCGAGTTCATGAAAGATCAATTAGACTGCAATATTATTCCATCACTGACGAATAGTCTGCATCGTGCCCTGNCAATCACACTATCATAATTATCCCACTAGTAATGCAGATAAACTGTGACAACCGCTGAATAAACTAGAAATGTCTACACGAAATTCACTGGACCTCAAGTTGTACAACCATTTACCAGTTGACCTCACTCAGCTTACTACTCCATCATTCAAGATCCATTATCCACTGATTTAGAAGCTGTGACAATCACAATTCTGGGACCGCAAAAACTGCACGTCTGCAATGTATACATTCCCCAAATCAGAATCCAAGTGTAGTAGAACTGTCCAACCTCTTCAACCAACTACCTACTCTACATATAATATTAAGAGATTTCAACTCACACAACCACATATGGAGGTCGACGAAAACAACACAAAATAAGCAAAACAGTAGAAAGCGTCATCAATAACCTAAATCTTAATCTTCTTAATAACGAAGGAATACTAGGTTCAATACCACAAATAGTGTATTTTCAGCAATTGACCTTCTCTTTGCGAATTGCCCTTGGGGCATTTTGCACAAGTCCAACCGAAAACTTACAATGTGAATCAGGCGAACCATCTTCAGCAACCCGAAGGCAGTTTTTAACCCTCATCAATGCTGCTTCCATAACAGCGAACCCTGAAAACCCAGCATACCATAATGTGATTGCCCATAGAATTTCATCAACATATGCTAGGAAAAAAAGAGCTGACCTCCCTTTTTACGAAAGACAAAAATCAGTATCTGCATAATTTGAACCTCCATCAACCAAAAACCTTTTCTGACCCGAATATCCCTAACCCCACTCCATGGAATACCCCAAAAATTCTCATTGATATAAACCTTAACTAGTTCACTAAGAGAGATATCAAGTACAAAGTCATCAAATGTAATTTGTATGAAATGATTCATTCGAAATGCAAGTAGTATGACACAATTTACATGGACGCATCCAAATCTGAAGACGGTGTAGGATCCGCTTTTACCAGTCTTCAATCTAGTTCATTATTCAGACTTCCCCTAGAAAGCTCAGTGTTCACTGGGGAACCTTACGCCATATGGAAAGCACTGCAGTACAGAGAGAAGAACAACTCAGATTCTTTAAGTGCCCTGGAAGCAATCAACTCATTATACTCCAACCATCCCATCAATCGTCATATGAAAGAACTGATCAATATTCTTTATAAAAAAGGGGTAGTCATGAAATTTATATGGGTTCCTGAGAGCTTAGCTAAAGAAGCCACTATCAGGCCTTTAAACAGTACAGAAAACTATGTTGTCTATACAGATATGAAACCGTACTATAAGAAAATCCTCACTGAATTATGGCAAGTTTAATGGAATGAGTCTTGCAGTAAACTTTCCAAAGTAAAAACAAGTGGATACATCTCCCGACAAGTAGGAAAACCCGATCATAATATCCCGCCTGCGAATAGGCCACACTCGCCTCACCCATGGATACTTCATTGCCGGCGACACCTGCCCTATGTGAGAAGTGTGCGACTCTCCCGTAAATTTAGACCATACCTTAACAAAGTGTGTGCTATATTCCAACGAAACACTAACTCAGGGCATCCCGCCTTCAATTAACAACGCATTAGGACCTAAGTGTAATATTGAAAATACTTAAACTTTTTAGAAAATGTCCACTCGTTCAACTTTATATAATACCACTGCAACTGATGCATTGTTCAGTCGCTAATAACTCTGGAGGTTGATGCGACTTTTAATAAAGTAAATAAAAAAAAATAATTTCTCCGGAGAAAATATACTCCTCCCTCTTGTGTTTGATTTTTCTAGGTGAGTTAAGATGATAAACTGTATCTTTTTATTCTACTTATGTTCACTATGAATTTTGTTATTGAATGCTTTCATTTCTACATTTCGAAGGGTGATTTTATTAATTTCAGAAATCTTTTGGACTGCCATACGTTTTCGGAGCTCTTCGGACCCTTCAAGGCGATGCATGTTCTGTGCTCCGTGTTTATGAAGATCACCGCGGAATGGGAAAAGACCGGCGCCAAGGAGAATTTTTTGAAGGAAATCATCGAAGCGTTGCAATACTTTTCATGCTTCCACATCAGTTACGATATTTTTTTCAATATGAAAAATATCGAAGGAGAAAACTGCTCAACGTTTCTAATAAAAGTTCTGCTCCTGTCGCCAAAACATACAGTGAACATCGTTCAACACTTTTTTCGCTCTACAAATGAGCGTGAACTGCCGATTCGGGAGATATTGGATATTTTCAACAATAANTAAAATGTGTTTATTCACATCGTATTAGAAATTACTTCCATAATTCAAATGAAACACCCTGTATATTTAGATATAACCGAAATTGTTGAGAAAATGCCATTATATTCCTTGTTCGATTAATGACCTATTTATTCATTTTGTAAAAATTCACATTGAATATAAGACTAAGACAATAACTTTCATCTATATTTACCAATTTCTCATCTGTTACTACCGGTTTCGGTTTGGTAAACCATTTTCAAGTAGTGAGTACCACAGCTTTCAAAATCTGAATCTCTATGACACTCTGAAGAAACTTTGTTGGAGTCTGGATGATATGAAATTCCCAAATAAATATTGTAGGTACTTGCCGAAAACCCATTTCTCCTCACATTTTCCTTAGTTGGGTTCTTTAAGGTTCGTGACAAAACTCCTCCAGAATCCCAAGTCCGGTCTTGTTCCCAACATGAGATACATTGATGCACCAACTGCTGTCAATATGGAAAGTTGTGTATTTTTTGAATTCCGTATCTGGTTTTGGACTTTTTTCGCCTTTCAGTAACCGCTCAACAACCAGTGAAGAAAGCACATGCCAGGGTCAATTGTCAGTTCTAAATAATATGTTGCTGAATTTTAGATCAAATTTAAGTTCTTTTTTTTATTTCACATAAATCTCTGTTATATGTGAGTACTATCAAACCATAATCATCATTTACTCATATGATGGCTTTCTTGCCATATATATCTTTGCTGTATGAACATGGATCGGTTTCTTTAATTCTGAATCCTTATTTTCCCAAAAAGTTACAAAAGCGGCTGTACCAATATCCAGGAACCTGCATCAAACCTGACAAAAGTTTTTTATTAGTACGGACTTTAATTGCCTCATCTACTATATAAAAATGGATGTTTGTTGGTTGGTTGGTTGGTAAGTGATAAACTTGTACATCGCTCAACCGATCATGATGAAACTTAACATGTATGAGTAATTTTTCATAGAAAATGTTTTTAGGCTATCAATTTTTCTATAACTCGCCACTAGATGGCGCTGTAGAATGATGATTTAAAAGCACTGTTCTTTAACGCTGCGCACGCCTAAGTTCGTTGATTCTGATTATGTCAAAACATTGGAACAGCAGCGATACAGCAACATAGTACTAGT